CACTCTGAATTTATCTGTATGTGTGTCGATCTCGATTATTTTTGTTATCCAATTAAACGCCGCTTTTAACGCACTTTCCCTTGTCGTGACCCGACGCGTTCACCTATTTCAACAAAATGTCAATTTATTTCCACGCGGCTGTCATTTATTTAGTAACTGTGATTTGTCGTTCGTCGATTTTTATTTTTTTTAATTATTTTATAATGATCACTATAGTCTAATGTTTAGAATGTCAAAATATGTTCTCTTTTATTTTAATTTTGAAAGTTTTACTCAGACGATCGATGAAATAAAACAGTGTAGTGACGTGCCTAGTAACCTGCTAAATAATGAGATAATTGCAACGTCAAATCCTATTTTGTCCAGCGACAGTGTACAAACGTGCGCCGGTGTCGATGACGATCACGGTGACCAGCTACACCTAACTCAACCCCATGCAACAGAAATTGATACTATGTGTTCATTATGGTCCATTCTTCCTCGACGAACAAGTACATAAGTGACAATTTAGTCAAAGATGAGAAAACTGTACAAGAAATTTGCCTTATTTACATGTATCGGCAATGCAAGCTGCCATGCGACTTCCCCTTCTGACGTCACAAGGGGAATTTCTGTATGCAAATGAGAAGCTAATGAGGAGCCTCGTTTTAAAATACACAAAAATAAAGTTGCCGTAGACTGAGTTTGAAACTCATTTTTTCACTTAAAAAAATAATTCATGCTTAGAAACATAAAAATTAATAATATTTATATATCAATGGATAATTTTAGGCGTGAAAATAACAGCCATTTCACAGGCACTTTAAAGTGAAATTACCAGTACATCAGTTTACAGTGTCTTCATGTTGTCTTCATGGATACGTAAAAGATCAACCCAAAAAAGAAGATTCCAATTTGTGTAATAATTTATTTTCCTACCTCGGTCATGCAATATAACAAGACTGTTCAAATTGTTAGTTGAGGATAAGATCACTGTTTCTTGTAGAAGATTCATGATACATTGAAAAAAAGTATACTGCAAATTTTTGCGGTTTGCTGATTTAAATTTTCATGAAAGCCATTTAGACTTCATGTTCTAATGCTGACCCCAGTGAAATGTTCACAGTGTGTTGAAAATTGGGGATTGTACAGTTTACTGTATTACGTGGCTTAATTTCAATTTGGAATTTCATTCTCAGATAAAAAAAAATAACGTAATGTGATGCAATGATTTAACAATAAATGTTGTGACACAAATACAATCATACATGTACAAGCATGAAACGATCATCTAAGGTACCTAGAGAAATTGTCATATACACATATACACAGGTCTTTATATCAAGGTTGATAAATAAATTCATGAATGAAAATATGACAATAATTTCTCTGTTTTTATGAAAAAATAATCAGAAAATTTTTGAAGATGTAAAAAAAAAAAAAACTCCAAATATCCAATCATTTTTAATCATTTTTGATCCTTGTGCAAACCAGTACTAAAAGGTTGATCACAGGTCACATTAGACAGCTTGTCTTTGTATTCATGTCGCTTTACATGTAAAGTACTGCCCAGTGGTGGTGACTGTGAACATTAGTCAAATTCTCCATGTTTACATAGAGATTATTTTCTGGGGCTCAGCACAGCTGGTCCAACCATTACTTCCATTGTATCATTTCAGATCAGCATCTCAATTACCGTACTACATGTATCAGCCAGATAAATGTTCATAATCTTCCAAATCCCTCTGCTTTAGAATTATAATTATGCTTCCATTAGGAATTGATTATCTCTTGTTTAAGCACTACAGTCGTTGAGCATGGGTCCCATGCGACATGTATGTAAAATACATATGTGTGTTGCTTTATAAACAAGAAACATAATTAGAAATTTGTCTGAACCAAGTGTTTATTTCACCATTTTTATGTATTTTCCTTTAATTTGTCAGTTAATTTTGGACCAGGTCTTGATAAAAACATTCAAAATAATATGAAAAAAATTGAGCTTTATTTTGTGGGAGAATAATAAAATTTGGCGTTTTTTAATTACAGGTCATCAGTTCACTATGATGACCATCTGTCAGTTATTTGTCTGATAATTATATGCAATAAATTGAAACAGTGAATATGCATATTAAAACAGAATGTATGTTCTCTTCTCACGCCAATGAATTCAAAAATTAGTGGATATTATTGCATCAAATTTGCTAAAATTAAAGAGGGTTGGGTTAATCAAACAAATGCAAATCATATTTTTGAAACTTTTCTTAAAATAAACCTGCATAATTGTTTCATTTTATTTTCGAATAATTTTGATCAAAACATGTAAGCAATGAGAAATTATGTATGTCAGTTTGGTTCAAAATTAACAATGAAATAGAAAAACACATAAAAAATGTGCACATTTTGGTGTCGAAAAAATTGTGAGTTAAAGAGGATAGTAATTGTTTAAAATTTTGTAGTCAGGTTCCCATAGAAACTGCCTAAAACATTACCAAGTTTTATTCAATAGGTTTCTGATGATGGTTTACATGGACATTTTAAAAATATTTGTATATTTTACATTTTGCAGAATTATTTTTATAATAAATTAACACATAAATGAGTGTGAAATTTATAACGAAACATTCCTAGTGTTTTTAAATCTTAGAACATTGAAATATCTTGAGACAAAATATTGTTACATCATTTTGCCTGTTTTTATGTGGTTTTCTATTTTATTTTGATATTTTTGTACCAAATGGACATCATTTTCCATTGTCTACATGTCTTGATCAATATTTTGAAAAAATTGTGTGGGTTTATAATTTGGAATTGGTGACAAAAGTTGACTTTGGCGATCAGAGGATTGAACTGAATGATTTTTCTTTCCCCTCTCTTCCATAAAATTGCTTACATACCAAGTACCTCGTAAAGCGTACAATTTTTGCAGTCCATTTGGTGATTCATTTAGTGTTTCACTGTTAAAGAAATGACAAGAATCTTTCATTCTTTGCTGTAAAGTATATTTATAATATGTTATTTTACAGATCTACTTCAGAATGATTGCTACAGACAGTACAAATAGCTACACAATTAAAGAATGGAAAGCATCGTACTACGTGACGACTGGCAAGAAACGATGGGTATATGGTACTCTCTTTGTTGCTTCTAATTTTATACTTTTCCAAGACGAGGATAAGAAAGAACCGATCAATGATGTGACAGTTTACTTTGCGAACTTCACCGGTGTTAAAAGAGAAAACAGTAGTTACATGTTCAGATGTGTTACCGTGGCGACCAATTCTGACAAGCATTGGTTTGGGTCACTACCAAATAGGGAGGAAGCTTTTCACTTCATTGAACACTTTTGGAAAGAGCGTTTAGTAGGGAAACCTGCGTTAATCATGAGAAGTAATGGAGAAGATCGCGAACAAACTGAGCTTGGTAAAAAGCTACTAGACGTTGCATACGACTCCCAGAGAACATTGCAAGAAGCTGGAGAATCATTGGCCTATCAAGGTGAGAAGCTAGATTATGCTTCTCGAGTTGTTGACGACATCAATAATGATTTAACAGTGGCTGAGCATCTTTTGGATGGACTTGATTCGTGGCTGGGAAAGTGGAGCGCCATTACCAGAGTACCAGACTCACCGCAAGACGTTGATGACACTGTTGCATATAATATTTTATATGCAAGAAAACCCAATGATGCATTGAATACTGGAACATTACAGATTAACAATGATAACCTGGAATTGAAGGACGCTAAAGGGAAAAAACTTCATGTGTACGAGATGAATGATGTGTCGTCAGTGGTGGTGGATACACCATGGGATATCAAGGTCACTCAACGTATGATTGGTAAACCTGATATCAATTTTTATCTAACATCAGCAAAAATGGTACAAATCTTGAAAGCGATGGAGCCAATGTATGCTTCTAAGTTTGATTTTGAGGAAGCTAATCTGCCAGAGAACACAGTGAATATGGAGACTCACACTGCCACTTACAAAGGTAATATTCTATTTATTTGATATCAGTCAAAATTAATGCAAATACCGGTGATCAGTTATTGCTCCCGATTTTTTAGTGTTGGCTTATGTACTTGGTTTTGCCAGTTTGTTCCTTGCATCTTCTCAGAAATCTATTGACACATTTTCCAAATTTTGTTACATACATGATGCATATTAATAAACTTGAAATTTTTTTGATCAGCTTTAAAATGGCTGGCTGGCAGCCATATTTGTCCCAAAACTATAAACTGACATTTTATATGTTTAAGAGTTATCTCATATTATAATTACATATTATTTTTGCACTGTAAGTACCAAATAAAAAGTTGAAATATGTAAAATGATTTTTTATAGTAGAGGTAATCAATGGTAAAATTGTGTTTAATGCTGTTTTATGATAAAAGCAGTTTATTTGGATTCTCTGAGCAGTAGCATTAAATGAAGCTATAAAATAAAAGATAAAAAAAATCCGGCCATAAATTTGAATGGTAGTTAAAGCAGGCATTCATTAAGACTTGTATCTTACAGACTTGTCGATATCAGCAAGTCGTAGCTAAAACTTCAAACATGAAGCAGCTCAAACTATGAAATGTTGCTTATTTCTCTTACTGAAAATAGGGTTTATAGTAAACTACTACAGAAAATAAAATGGCTTGTGTTTTTCTTTAGATGTGATTTCTAGTGCTGAGCATGAAAGCAGTCCACGGGCCAGACTTCACATTCACAAATCCAACAAACCCATTGTATCTGATATGGAAGCTGATGAATTAAACCAAGTTGTGGGGAACTTGAAATCCATGGCTTTAGACATCCAGAAGGAACAAGACTTGCAGATGGAAAACATAGATAGACTCAGTGACAAGGTAGAAGGTACCACAGCGAGAGTGAAAAGTGATACAAAACAGATGAAAAGATTACTGTAATTACATATTTTACTTTTATCATTGGAACCTTTCCTGCCAAGTTATTGTGATTATTTTCACACATCTATGTTTCACACAAATTTGTTTGATGAATTTGTTTTTCACGCAATACACACAAAATGAAGCTGAAAAATTAAACTGGAAAAAAGAGTAATTGGAAAATGGTTAAGAGCTGTATTGTATTTGTTCTATTAGGTGCTCTCATTCTTTTTGGGGTATTTACTAGCTTGCCTGTAATTGCAGTGAAGTATCAATGTGTGTTCCTAATGTACAATTTCATTCATTTCTTTCAAACACATTCATGATAAAGTAAATTTTCTATCCTCACTTGAGCAAATGAAAATGATCAAAACAGTTCATCCTGCTGCTTGGAGTACAAACATTTACAATGCATTACTAATTTTTATAGGATTTTTTTATAGATGGTGCTTGTATAATGTTTAAGAAATAGTAACTGATATTTAATTTGATATCAGTATAGAATTCAATTTGAAATTTTTTTGCTATTCGCGAAAGTGTAATATTTAAGTAACTTTTATTTGTATTTGTATTCTTGCATATCCATCCTATAAGTCCTTTAATTTCGTAGGAGGCAAATTTTGTAACAGTAAAAATTGTTCCATGACACAAAGTATCAGCAACTTTCTTGAAATTTTTTTCTTCATTATCGCTGTATGATCATCAAATTGCAAACAAATTGTAGCCGAAAAAATTAATGTTTTTCTGTACTGTAAAATACACTATTTAGTAGTTGTATGTACATGACACGTCTCTGTGGTGAAAATACTGTAAAATCATTTATTTTTTACTGGCGTTCATTTTCAATCTACTGAGCTCTATCACATATTCTTGTGGATTTAATTCAGCAGATTTTACTTACTGTAAAATACTTTATTTTCGCTTAGAATTAATTTTTGCTATTTTCGTTGAAGTAAAAATAAAATCCAGTGAATATACCTTTTTTCCTATATTTTACATTCAACTCGTCAAAAATCACTTAAAATAAATCCCATACAAAACACTCAAAAACTCCTTTCAGCAAAAATTAATTCCAGCTAAAATAAAGTATTTTACAGTATTTTCTTGTGTATGTGTGATTGTTTCTGTCTAACATTATAACAGCAAGTCTCACACTTAATTGCAATAATTGGTTAAAAAAAATCTTGTTCCAATGCAACAAACATGCATAGGTGTAAAATACATTGTTTACGCAAAATTTTGCATGCATGCAAAATGACGACTGTAGAGGATTTACCGATACCTGTTAATTTGGTGTATGGAGAAGTAAACAACATGTAGCTAATATTGTAACATGTGCATCTGTTATTTAATATAATTTTTAACCGCATATTGAATGAACTGTCTATCACTGCCATAGTTGCTTCCATATATGGTATAAATTTAACAGCTTGTTTTGTCAAGTCATGCAAAATTAATGAATTACCAAATAAGCTATTCATGATTATTAATCTTCTATAAAAAATATAAACAGATGTATTATCCTGGATAAATTGACCAAATGTAATGATTTCAAGAATCTATATGGTTTTAAAACCAAATAATGTCATGTAAATTAATTCATTTCTCATGTGTGTTTTTTAATTGTGCATTTTTTATATAATGAAATTTTTGGTTACAAACTAGTCAAAATGTTTAGGAATTAAGTATGAAATTTGTAATTTTTAGGTTATTTAGCTTTTCAGTTGTTATAATCACTGGGTTTGTCATTTTGTTTGGAAACTATCTATATATTTAATAACCATGAACTAGAATTAAACCATTGATATTTTATTTCTATGATATACAAGTAGCACTTATATTAAAAAAAAAATGCAGTTTGAAATGTTTTGAGGAGCTGCATGTTCGTTTGTGTTAAACCTTGATGACCTCTGACCCTCACCCAGCTGACACCAATATTCTTTCATCAACATTGCACTTTGTCGAGTAAATCTATGCTGTTTTACTATTTGAAAATAGTAATAAAAATGCATCTGCCTGTCAAATTAATATTTACCATGTATTTATGTAAATTTGCATTACTGAATAAATTCTACAGGTACACTTATGTGAAATGATATTTTATTTTATACAATTTGTTATCAAAGTGAACTGTTGGTCACATCTGTAACATAAGAATAGTGGCTTGTATAGTAAATATTGCACTTGGCTAGTCCATTCCATTATTATATTAGCCATTCTCCACCACACATTGTACCAATAGTATCTATGACTACCAGACCATTCTCCATCACGCATTGGTACCAACAGTATCTACGACTACCGGGCCATTCTCCATCACGCATTGGTACCAACAGTATCTACGACTACCAGGCCATTCTCCATCACACATTGGCCTGGTAGTCTTAGATACTGTTGGTACCATTGTGTGATGGAGAATGGCCTGGTAGTCATAGATACTGTTGGTACCATTGTGTGATGGCAAATGGCCTGGTAGTCCTGGGTACTGTTGGTACCAATGTGTGGTGGCAAATGGCCTGGTAGTCCTGGGTACTGTTGGTACCAATGTGTGGTGGCAAATGGACTGGTAGTTTTGAATACTGTTTGTACCAATGTGTGATAAAAAATGACCCTGCAGTCTTAGATGCTGTTGGTACCATTGTGTGATGGAGAATGGTCTGGTAGTCGTAGATACTGTTGGTACCATTGTGTGATGGAGAATGGCCTGGTAGTCGTAGATACTGTTGGTACCATTGTGTGATGGCAAATGTCCTGGTAGTCCTGGGTACTGTTGGTACCAATGTGTGGTGGCAAATGGACTGGTAGTTTTGAATACTGTTTGTACCAATGTGTAATTTAAAATGACCCTGCAGTCTTAGATGCTGTTGGTACCAATGTGTGATGGAGAATGGCCTGGTAGTCTTAGATGCTGTTGGTACCAAAGTGTGATGGAGAATGGCCTGAAAGTCATACTGTTGGTACCAATGTGTGATGGAGAATGGCCTGGTAGTCGTACTGTTGGTACCATTGTGTGATGGCAAATGGCCTGGTAGTCCTGGGTACTGTTGGTACCAATGTGTGGTGGCAGATGGACTGGTAGTTTTAAATACTGTTTGTACCAATGTGTGATTGAAAATGACCCTGCAGTCTTAGATGCTATTGGTACCATTGTGTGATGGAGAATGGTCTGGTAGTCGTAGATACTGTTGGTACCATTGTGTGATGGAGAATGGCCAGGTAGTCGTAGATACTGTTGGTACCATTGTGTGATGGCAAATGG